TCACTTTCACATTTTTTGTCTAAAAAAATCTTTGTTCTTAGAATTTTTTTTATGAAATATATTGTGTTCCTTCATACAGTTGGTTCTTTGAAGAGAAATAAAACAATATGTGAAAAGTTCTTGAATATATTTGTTATTTACTCCAGTATCTAATGAGTTGTATCATAATGGTCCACTCGGTAATTCATTATCTTACTACTTGTACTAGTTTAGATGGATCAATAGATATAAACCCCACCCCTTATTCTGCTTTCTTACTCAAAGTTTGTGCCACTCTCTGGCATAGTAACCAGGTAGTTATGGATGAAACATTCAAGGGACTCTCAGGTCTAATCCTTTCTCACTTTTCAAACCCAGTTCTGTGGATCTCAAGTTCTGCAGTCATAACCTTGAATTGCATAAAATTTAAATCTATTGCAATATTTTTTCAGTTTTTACTTTTTATTTATATTTGAATCCAACTATGAATATAACCCCAGAAAGTCACATGTCCACATTTCATGAGAAGAAATGCTATTTACACAAGTCCTCTTATAAAAAAGGACTGTGCTAAACATTAGTCTCTCTTGAAATATTTCTCATGTTAAATGTAGACTTTGTGTCTCTGCTTCCTTGCTTTAGTAGTAGCAGAATGTTCTTACTCTAAATATAAAATTATAAAAAAAAGCAAGAAACAATATTTTCTTTAATTAACTTCTTCCTTTGGGGGTTTTAGAAGAGGGTTATGACTTGACAAAGATCCTTCCCATCTGTTCCTGTTTGTTTGCTTTTATTTTGACTTCCTTTCCTTGTCTTATCAAATATCACATGAATCATTAACATTTGTTTTCATCACTTATTTGGTTTCCCTTACTTCACATGATTAAGGCACTATGTTGAGAGAGGCTCAGGGCTACTTTATTTCATATTAACCTAATCTTGAACTAAATATTAACCTTTTTTTATGTTCTTTTATATGATTGCCCCACTACTGTGTTAATACTTTCCTAAGATCTGGAACAGTGAGACAAAAAGCACCAAACTTTGTTAGATTGTAGGTGTTTAGATAAAAGTTTTGAATAATTACTTTCCATTTTCAATCAAATTACTTCTGAACAGGAAATGAAATCTATTAATCCCTTTGTACAAAAAACATGTAAGAAGTCTTGTGAGGCCCTCCCTGGTGGTGGAGAAGTTGGAGCGCTGCACTGCAAAGCTAAGCCAAGCATTGGCCACTTCAGTGTGAGTTCGATCCCCACACGGGAGGTGACCCACATGGCACAGCAGTCCTCTCCTGTCTCGCTCACTGCAGTGTACTTTGCTGATCTGAATCCTCTCCCTGCCCCAGCATCTCTGGCCCCAATTCTGTATGCATAAATAAATAAAATGTTAAAAAAAAAAGTCAGGTGGGTGTTTGCTAAGGAAAATTGTTAAAAACTAGAATATGTGTATGTATTTATTTATTTGCATATTGTGTGATATCTTCCACTTACACACTCTCTTATTCATGATTTTATCTGGTTTTCACACTTTGACAGAACTGGATTTCTAATGTTACCTAGCTATCAATTGAAAAATGCTCCAGTTTGCATGTGTTCCTAATATTAGATCTTGCAAGTTAGTACAATTATTATTTCAAAGTTTTTCAGTTTTTAAAGTACGTGGACGTTACTTTATAGAACAAAAGTGAAATCCTCTACTGATAAGGATTAGATATATACCAGTAATTTCATATAATACTGGCAAAAACACCAAGTCCAAACAGTAAATTTAATACATGAACAAAAAGCAAATAGGAAATTTTGTGACAGCATCCTCATTTCTCTCTACCTACCCAAAACAAGGAAATAGCAAATAGATACTATAATATAGTGAATGGATCTGATTTGAGGGTTTCAACTTTAGTTTTAAAACCTGAAATCTATTTTTACAAATATTTTAAAATTTTTCCTCATTATCTGTAGAGCTAAGTCTGCATAATAACAATAAACAGCTTTAAAAATTCATGCTAGTAATAAACTATTCAGTGATCTAGATACTTTCTTATACACCAAATTATAGCTGTAAGCATCAAATCACAATGAACTTTGAAACTATTAGGAATTTGTAATTTAAATAGTTTCACTTAGTCCCTACTCCCAAATGCTTTTAATTAGAACAGACTTTTTAATTAAGTACTCCCATGCACAAAGTGTAGCTTGATGACTTCCCTGTCATATCAGCCTCCCATACAAAAGCAAATCATCATTGAGTCAAAGGAAGATATTTTCTCTGAGACCAAATTGTAAGAATTCTAGTTCTGATGTTGTTTATCTGAGGCTCTGCATATCAAAAAGACATCTGATTCTGGGAGCATTCAAGTAATATGGCCACAAGGCATGAGAACTACTGATAGTTAGATGTTAGGTGTTGACATCTTCCCTCTGCAAGACAGATATCAAATTTACTCTGGTGATAGTCTAGTTGTATATTAGTGAAAATTGATGTCGTCAAGTGGATACTAAGTTTGGATTCACTTAAATACTAAATCATTATACTTCCATTCACTCTGAAAATGTGCAGAATCTTTTTTTTTTAATTTTAAACTGTTTGTAAAAGGCAATGAGCACCTATTTTATTGATTTGCACAAAGTTTATATTTAAAATGTATAGATTTGACTCTTAACAGGTGCAATTATATTTAATAATATCAGCCATGTCAATAACAACCCTTATTGTCAATTTAAAGAAAAGTTTCTAATTAAAAACTTAGAAAAAGTTCTTTTAAAAAGTTCTCACCCATTTAATATATCAGAAATAACTTTCATAAACCTGGGTTAGCAATCAGGCAAACAAGAAAATATTTTTCTGTGCCAACACAGAAAACATGCGGAAATAAAGATAGTAAGGGAGATGGTAGGTGTGGGGTTAGCCAGTAAGTGTAAAGCCCAAAAGAAAGCCCTCAAAACAAAATTTATGTTTAAACCCTCTGACTTTCCAGAGGCAGACAATACATCTCTGAATAATAAAGGCTGAGACATGTACACACTCAGGAATTCCAATGATCTTTGTCCTGTAGCTTCTTTTGTCACAGAGCATTTTCTGTGGGCCAATGACTTGGCTTGCTATTTAAAGTGTCAGGGAAGGAGGGAGTATTGAAACAATTATTATGTAGTATAAAAACATGCTACAGTTGAATTATGAGTCCAGACATCTTTCCTAGCAGCCTTGTTCATTCAACTCCTACTAGGTGGTTTGTTATAAGAACCCTAAGATAGAACTGCAACCCCATAATTCTGAGGCTTATGGTTAGTTCACTGAATACATGTGGCTATTTACTAAAGGTGCAGAATCTATTGAAGTCCTCTGGAATTATATAAATTAGTTAACTTTTTTCCCTACAGATTTTGAGTTATTCAAGTGTATGTTTCAATAAAGATGATAAAATCATAAAGTAGCATTTCTTTGACTGTTAGCCTCTATAAACAAGTGGAGAAGGATTCAGTTATTTAGGATCTGCCTCATCCTGGTATATTTCTACTTCAATTAATTCTATCACTGCGTCAAACTATTATTTATTCATGGAAATACATTAACTACAGCAAGTGGTTATTTCTTCTATGATCCAATCTTTAATTTCTTGATAAATTTGCTTATTTCTTAGGAACACTAGTGAAAAATCAATAGACATTTATTAAAAGTTAAACATATATTATCTGTTTGTCTATGTATGTACCTACCTACATCATCTTTCCAATACCTAATATATGTAAATCACATGAAAGTTACCTCTGACTCTCACTAATTCATAGTATATATTTATTGAGTAACCTCAGTATATGAATAGTATCAACGAAGACAACATAGTTCCCTAATATGTTGAACAACATAGTTCCCTAATAATTTTACAAATTATTCTAAGATAAAACATCTGATTAAGGTTACATAAAATGAAGATGCCAATATTAATGTGAAGTAAAAATAACTTGTTGGTTTTAAACTCCCTAATAATTACTAAATCTGCTACAGAGTGTGTAAAAAACTACTCTGTTGCTTAATCTTGAAGGTAAGATCTGCAAATAGACTATCTTTTCTACTTTCTGAATTTACTGCAGGTTATCCTTTTTTAAAAAAAAATAATTCATGGAGCTACCAGACACTTTAATATTTATATGGCATACACATTTTATTTTAATAATTGGAAAACTTTCCTATTCTCACTTTTCCTACTCTGTGTGTTAAAACTTGAAATTTAGACAATTTTTCAGGAATATGTCCAAAATTTACACTACCCTGCAAGCAGGTTTAAGGTATTATACCAGGGGAAAAGTTTTCATTTTGTTTTAATTTTTCCTCTAGTATTTTAATTTCCCATTCTTATTTCTGTTTCATTCTAATCAGATTATTGAATGTGTCCAAGATTTTATTTATTTTTTCTTACTGTGTGTTTATCAATGGGTAAAAATTGAGTATTTTCATTTTATCATTTGTTTGTTTAATCTCTGCTTAGAGGGGAGAGTCTATATAGTTCATTGATAGTAATGGTATCACCTTAGATGACTTTCACATAAATAGTGACAAATATGCACAATAGTTACATTACATGGTGTATTTAGCAACACTGCTAAGTAATAAGATGGGCACCTAATCTTGCACATGGAGATACACCTGAATGCATTCTAAGGAAATTTGGTTCTGCAAGCTTGGAGGAATTAATTGTCATTCAACAGAAATCAGCTTGCTTTGCATATCAGTCAAACCCATGCACTCATAATTATCTGTTTCCAGAGTGCTCCTGAACTGATATCAAACTAACAAATATATATTTATGACAACTAAAAATGTTATATTCATTTTAATCACATAAACTTTATGTAATTGTGAAACTAACTTTGAAAATAAGTTCAAAATGATTACATCCTAAATGAGAAAAAAAAATAGGTTAACCCCACCAATTTTAAGTCAGTCTGTTGTGTTTATATTTACATATATTTGTGTTCCTCAAATATCATTATTAATTCTGTTCTATTGTTCATTTTTAGATGGGAGACTGTATTTGAAAACTACTGTCATGTACTGAACCTTTCCTGTTGAAGACATCCACGTTCTCTTAAAGAATTTTACAGTCAGACATACATCATTGCAAAGTTCAGAGAAAATAAAGTCCTTTTAAGGGAACTCTCACAATTTTGTGTATTAATGTTCTTTAAAAGTTTAAGTATTCTACAAAAAAGTTTCCTCCACTGATTTTCACCTTGGTTCATGCCAGAGACCTGAGAATGTTTGTAAATGTACAAGTATCAAACTTCTTTCAGATAATGACTGCAACTTTGCTGCTGGACACTTACACAGAGTTAAAGACGGGTCTGAGTAAGACCAACTTTGTTTTTTAATGGAATGAACCATTTTCCTCTTGTGAGAATTCTGTATTTGAGCACATCAAGAGACTCTCGTAGCAGTGGTTACCCAAATTTACAGAATGCTGTCCTCCCAAACCAGCAAGAAACACCTGGAAATGAACTTGTAGGGGGCATAGAGGATTCCTGAAAACCCAGAAAATAAAGAGTAATATTCTGTTACATTCACTTTTAAAACTCTCTACTTGTGGGTTTTCTCCTGAAGATTTTTTTTCACATACTTTCCAAAAGACCAACAAGTGGGTGTTGACACCCATCCAGTGAAATAACATTTTGCATATCTGAAAAGAAGCATTGACTATAACCCAAAAGCTTTTTTTTTTCTTAAAAAAAAAAAAAAAAAACACAATACAAATGTAACATGTTTTCATTCCAGACTGGTAGTGACATATAGAATTAAAAATGATAACGAAGCTTCTTATTCAAACTGTTGGTCACATGTACAGTATATAAACATAAAACATACACGGAAGGTATTATGTATGCAGTAGTATAATAGAATTTAGGAAAATGAAAATTTTAGAAAATATGTTTTGTCACCCTGTTGGTCAGAAAGACACCTTTCTGGTTTTAACGCATGCAGGCATGTAAATATTTGTCTGGAGTCACAGTATTAATGAATGAGACCTTAAGCATCTGGTGACATCAGAACTCTCTGTCAGCCACTTTTATTTGTATATTGAACCCTAGCTAGTGCCCCAAACTGCACTACTAAGAATGGATTGTGGCTGAACAGTAAATCAAAACACCAGAACTATTTTTATATGTTAATGTCATATTATGTTAATGTTGCTGAAAAACAAAAACCTAACAAACCCTTGATGTATCAGTCCAATACCATGTAGCGCTGAGTGATAAAGTTAAAATGTGTTGTGCTTCCTGCCTGTCAGAGGGAAGGGTGGCTCCTGTGTTACTTTCACTGTCTTTTTGAAAGTTACAGTATGTGTTTTCACTTTTGTGCAGATAACTGGAAGTAAGCTGCAAACAGTGCTATTGCAAGCTGAAGTTACCTTCTCTTTTCTTACCTATCTGGAGTTCCACCTTTAAAGACTGGTATTATGAATCAATACAGTCGCTGTACATTTTACGAATTTGCTGTCATCTTAAAATTGTATGATCATAAAATTATTTATTGCCATAAACAGCGAAGTCTTAAATGTCCAAGGAAATTAGCTTAAAATGTTTAAAGATAGTTCCGATTGGGTATTAATTATTTGGTTAAAAATAACATTAGTGATATTCTGGCACTAAGCTTCTGTAGTTTTTAGGTCTTCCTTGCAATACTGGAACATATTTCTTTTGTGTAGCTCACTATTAACCAGCTAAGTCCATTTTTTTTAATATAATAAAAGGTTATGTATACAGTTCCTATTTTAGCTTGCTTAAAAGGGAGCAATATTTTTATTTAAAATATTGTTAGTTAATGCTTTGTAGAAACTTGTTTTTCTAAGCATAGTTCTTCCATACCACCTTTTATTGTTTGAGCACAACAAATTCTATTCTTAGGTGTATGTATTTCTTGATTTTCCCTGTAAGCAGTCTTTAAAGGATTACAACATTTAAAATTGGAGGGACTTGTGGCAAGCTTTTGACTCATACATTTTTTGAAAAATTTTTAAAAAAACCTAAAACTTACATATGTAGTAGAATCAGCCATTGCTCTGCTCCTTGCATAGAGTCACCTGTTAAGTAGGTTAAATAGTTTTAAAATAATACTTTCAAGGCCTTTGAGAATGCTTTAGTGTTTGGTTCAATTTAAAAGGAAATTTTAGCAAGGATTAAAGATAAAAGCTATCAACTATATGTTGAGAGAATCTTACTAACATGTTGTAAATATTACAATTCATGAAATGTTATTTTAAGTTTGTAACTTAAGGGTTTTGAACATTTTTTAGTTTTACAGGTTGTTTTGAAATTTGTGTTTTGGTAGAGACAAGTAAAATTGTGCTCGTTTTATGGTTTCCATGCTTTTGTAATCCTAAAAATATTAATGTCTAGTTGTTCTATATTATAACCACATTGCGCTCTATGCAAGCCCTGGGAACAGAACATACTCATCTTCATGTAGGACCTATGAAAATTGTCTATTTTTATCTATATATTTAAAGTTTTCTAAAAATGATAAAAGGTTATTACGAATTTTGTTGTACAAAATCTGTACAAAAATCCGTTTTTACATCATAATGCAAGAATTGGAAATTTTTCTATGGTAGCCTAGTTCTTTGAGCCTGGTTTCAATGTGTGAACCACATTTACTGTTATTGTATTTAATTTTCTTTTCTTTTCAACAATCTCCTAATAAAACTGTCTGAAATCTCCCTGTGACTTTATTTATAGTTCTTCTTTATTAAATTTTGTGAAATGCATAGCATTGAAGGAATATTTACTTTCTAATGGGAGGCATCTAAAAACAACATAAGTCAGCTCTTTGCAATGCGAGGGGAATGATGCTCAATGATTTTATTTAACATGCAACTGCTTCTATCTCTAATATGAATTACTGTGGTGAAAAACATCATAAAAGCACACTCTGTAGTTATTGTTTAACAAGCAGATTTTCCATATTTTGTTTCTTGCCAGCTAAGCAAACTGCCCACATATACATGATTTATTTATGTACATTTCTCAGTTTATGAAGCTGTTATTTGTACCTTTTTCCTTTATATTCTTATATTCCCATGATTCTTATTTCACAAAGCTTTGTGCTGAATAATGTAAAGTAGACATGTTGAAGGAACAAAATATATTATAACCATCTCTACAAGAGAGTAGAATTTGTAACTCTAACTCAGTGTTTTGCTTTTGATCTATCATTAAAATACCCTTAGAAACTTTGAAATTTCAGTATCCTTTAATAATATATAAACATCTTAATCAAGGCAAAAAAAGTATCATTTGAAGAAATATTTACTGGTTTTCAAGAAAATGGAAAAATGGATTTTTCCTGTCTAAAGAAATCATTTCAATCAGTTAACAAATATGACTTTCCTTAATAAAAACATAGAATAGTTATATGCCCATTACAAACACATTTTGCCTTTTGTCACAATGTGTTTATGTTATTAAACATGTACTGGAACATCATACAATCTCTGGTTACTTGTGGATTTGGGTAACAATTTTCCCCATATATTCTCATCGGGACTAGCAAATTTTCAATCTGTATACAAGTTGTTTATTATTAGAGGAGATTAAATTATATAAAAAAGATATATTGCACTTTTTAAAATATGGGAAGTAAAGGTGCTGATAGAATTAAAACATTGCTACAAGTCGCATTATTAAAAATATGCTTTTCCTGTATCGGTTTGGTGTGAACACTTTAATATGTACAACTGTATATTATAGCTGAACTGACTCTTATTTATTTAGCTAAGCAGATTCACTAAAAAAGCCTTTATTCTGCACAAAGCAGAGTGGTGTAATGTCTCGGTGTAATGTTACCTCGGTGGTGTAATGACTGAAATTGACAGCATAGTGCTTGTACCAGAGGAGCTTACACATTTCTTGGAATTAAAAAAAATCTTAACTTTCAGCAACAAAATATTAATTGAGCATCATCTACTGTGTGCAGTAGACTCGGCGCTGGTATGAAGAGGATATTGTCTTAAACACCTTTACACTGAGGAAATGTTCTAGTACCTATATTGAACATTTATTATCTAAATAGTCATACAAAATGATTTGGGGATAAGACACTTGTATAGGGATCAAAAAATGTAATGGATACCTTTTCCCCCAAGAAAAATATCGTAATTGTTATTTTCATATAATTTGTTTATTTCTCTCAATCATATTTTTCTTACCAGGGATGACAAGTTTTAAGGTAAGTAACCTACTTAATCACACAGAAAATGTTATCAGCAAGTAAAATTTTCCTAATTTGTTCACAGTATTGAACGTGCATGGATAATATGCAATTCTTATCCCCTCCAACCTCTTTATATCTAGGGTAAGAAATAGTCTAAAATTTTCAAACACAAGAACATAAACCATCATGCCAAATGAGTATGTTAATCATTACATGTGTGGTGGCAGCATCATTTACTTTTATAGGTTATTGAGCTGGAGATTTTGAGTAGACACAGATTAGTTAGGACTCCTTTGGTGCCACATAACAAAGGCTAATTCCCGCTTGGTTTAATAGATAAAGGAATTGAGGTGCACATGGACCCTCAATCCAAGAGTGCAGCCAGCTTCTACACACCATGGTCCCCATTTCTATCTTTACTTTTCTGCTTCTCTCATTGCAGACACATTTGCCCTGCTCATCTCTTGACTCCTCTATTATCCGGGAGAATAAGACTCAGACCACAGATGAGCCAATCATTTTATCTCTCTCGTCTTAATTCTGATTCCTGAGAACCATAACCGAAAGGTAACTTGACAGTGTGTTACATGCATCTGGGAAATGTTAGAAACTACTGTGTTCGATTAACTTTGAATCATGTGGATTGGGGCAAGAACACTGGAATTGTTTAGTTTTTTATGTTTCTTATGAGCTGTTAATGTTGAAGACTATTGTTTGGGAGGGTGGCAAGTCTCAAGCTATGGAAAATGACTACTGTGCCTTTTATGTGGGAAAGGAGTTAGTTAGGGGTGGGAGTGGGAAATTGTAAACAGTGCAAATATTTAAAAGCCAACTCATAACTCTGTAATTTTGTTAAATTCATTTATAATATAGTTACTATATTTTAAGTAAATTTAGTATTTTCAACTTAATGCTGACTTGAATATGGATCTATAGTTCTTCCAATCACATACAGTAGAAGTCACTTCATTCCTTTAAATAAAACTATTGAACAATCTGAGCCAAAACCAATTGTATGAAGAGATAAAAATTCTATTTCATTATTGAGGCTTCCTGCAATTGAATGCCCTCCTTCCAAACATTGTTTCTCTTTTCATATCATTTGTGGAGAACCTGCAAATTTTCATTCCTAAGGTCCAGCTTTGAGAAGCAGCCAATGACCCTTCTTTTTGGAGAACCTCCAGTCTTATGGAAGCAAAAATTATAACCCATTGTGCTGTGATTTTGAATGGGAGATGAACTGTCTAAGAAATTTATGTTATAAACAGGAGGTTAAAGAGGTAATGTTTCTTTGCTTTTCTTGAACTGGTAAAATAGCAATCATTATAGTAGACTGTAATAAACTTTACATACATAATGTAATACTTGGAACAATAATTAAAAATATTGTATCAGTATACATACTAACAAACACTATAGACAATCTAAATGGAATTTATTGCTATAGTGAGGTCACTTCCAGGGTAAACAGTAGATGTATATTGTAATTGCTACAGAGTATAAAATACTTGGTTTCCAGCCCTCTATCAAATA